TTTTCTGAAGAAGGGTGTAGGCCCAAAACGTCAGCCTTCCTGCTCCTCTGATGCTGCTTGGCCTGCTGTGTTCATCCAGCTCTGCACCTTGTTGTCTCAGATTCTCCAGCATCTGCAGTTCCTACTATCTCTGCACACAGTATGCTTTTGATGAAATGGGAAAATGATAATATTTTGTAGCATTAAATGAAAACCAAATGTATTTTTCTCAGTAATACACATTTTATTAAATGAATAACTAATTTTAAGACTAGTATTTTTCAATTCACTCGTGAGTATAGCATCAAACTTCAGAGTGAACCTGATACTTGCCCAAGCCTAATCTCTGATTTATGGTGTAAATGTGACTTAGTTTTTCCTTAAAGACCACCCATAATTTTGGGGTAATGGATGGATGGATTCACTGCAGCTCTCTTCCTATAATTTGCAAAAACAAAATATAGTGGAGGAAGGTGTATTCATGTACATGTTTACTAATGTGGAAACATTTTCTGAACCTTTATCCTATATACCCAGAGTCCTGTGGTCTTCTCTTTATTGTCAGGTTTAATGTGAAGACAATGTTAGGTAAAAAGGTACGGCCCCCAAAGTCCTACCGAGCTATAGATCTGCACTCTCATTAGAGAGAGAGAGAGAGACGACTGGTAGTGGTTTAACCTGAGAATCACCATGCCTCAAGTGAGGGGAAAGATTGAGAAGGTACACATTAACTGAAATAGAATAATTCCTCAGTACAAGAAAAAAAATACTTTTTGCTTGGGTCAGCCTTTGACATCTTTGTTTCCCACCAAATCACTTGTGGTTAACTGACTTGTGCAGTTCCCACAGTACAGGTTTCCTCTTCACATCCATACACCTGAGGGCTGAATATTCAACTGCATATGTTGCATGGCTGGTTTGACTTTTCACAATCAGATTTGCCTTTAACGTCGAACACCTGCCACATCCACCCTCTTCAAAGCTAAATCCTTTTCATTGCTGTAGCATTCTGCAGAATAATGACAATATCCTTGACAATGAACTACACTCTCTGAGTCTATAATTTTGCCATTTTCCATTTCTGTTTGAAGTGCTTTCCAGGTGTTACTTTAAAGGTGTGCAGGCATGAAATAGATAAATGCTTAGATAAATTGCCTCATTGCCAAATAAAACTGTAAATAGGGGTAATTTTGAAGTTTCCTCCTTATATATACTTTGCAAAGGACCTTTGCCATTTCACTTGTAAGAAAGTACTGTGTTTATCTTTTGTGTCTCCACTTTACAATAAGTTACAATTGCATTGCAGCTGGAGCCTATGAAGTATGACCTATATCTTACTGCTGTGTTGCACAGCTAGTTCTTTGTTGCACTTTGCTGGCCTCTACAATTTTATACCTCTAATGTCATCAAAATAAATGGTTGCAGGCACAGCATTTAGCATTTTAGGAAGGCACACCTAAAATTGTGCAAGTTTGCATTTCAGACCTTCCTACTGTAACTTTATGTACAATAATTAATGGCTGAACAACTGAGTTAGATGACTGAGCTCCTGGGATGTTTTGGCATCAGCACATATGAGGAACAAATTACTATAAGTCCATGTAGAAACTTAAAATAAAAACAGGGCCTCATAACATCAAAATAAATGTCCTAATTACCTTAGCTTTCTATTCCACCCTACTGTTCCTATTATCTCAATTGGTAAGAAAGCAATGACTACTGTGGCTGAGTGACTTGACTGCTTAGTTGAGGCAGCCATTTGTAATGACAACTGGGAACTGAGAGATGTGATATTGCAAATACAAAACGTAATGAAAAGTATCTTAATTGGCTAACAAAGCATATAGTTTGCAGGAATGTGGATAATGGAAACCACAGGAATAATCTACCGCGTGCAGGTTACGTCAGCTAAAATATTGTGATAAAGCTAGAAAATGCTGGAAACACTTAGGTTAGGCAATAGCTATGTAAAAATGGTGTCATTGTTTCAGATTGTTTATTCTTCTTCAGAATTGTCCTAATGTTAATGCTGGGCACAAGAGTAGGCCATTCAGGCCCTTGAGCTGCTTCATTGTTCAGGTAGATCACAGTTGAGTTGTACTTCAACTTTATTGACCCGCCTTTGCCTTTTTGTTTCTTTATAACTTCATCTGACAAAAATTGTTCACTCTCAGTTTTGAAAACTCCAATTGCCCATGGCCGTTTTGGGGAAAACTTGCACATTTCGGCCACTTTCATTGAAAATGTGATTCCTGTTTCTGCTCCTAAATGGTCTAGTTCTAATTTTATAATTATTCTGTTGTCTATGATTACCCTATCAAACGAAATAGAATAGGTAAAGGGAAACTATAAAATATTACAACATTTTAAACACCCCAATTATATCGCCCTTTGATCAGCTATATTTGAGGGAATTCAAGTTCAAAATAACCTTTCTCTGCCTTTCTTTCCTTCCTTGCAGATACTGTCTGATCTGCTGAGCGTTTCGAGCATTTTGCTTGTATTTGATTTTCAGCAGTCATAGTATTTCATTTTGTTATATTGTTTTGAACGCTTATATCGGAATAAAGTCAACTAATTTATGACTCAATTTTTTTTTTTTAATCTTCAGCTGAGAAACCACTGAACCTCAGGATCTCTGACCAGCAGAGTCGGCAAATAATGCAGCAAATGGTATCCAGAGAAGATCTACAGCTTGCTAAGCAAGTGTCAAATGAATTAAGCAGATTTTATTCTAGCAATCCAAGAGAATCTCACTCTTCAGGTAAATAAGATGATAATGATGATGTTGCCTGTTAATTAAATGGTAATTAATGAACATTAAATAAGAAATGGGAGCAGGGGTAGACCATTTGCTGTTAAACCTGCTCCACCATTCCATATGATCATTGCTGATCTTTAGCTTAAATTCCACTTTCACACCTACTCTGCATTCTGTGATTTCCCAAAAGGCCAAAAAAAATTTGCCGATCTCAGCCTCAATAGGGAAAAAAGCAGTGAATGTGGTGAACGTGGATTTTCAGAAGGCTTTTGATAAAGTATAACACAGGAGTTTAATGAAGGAAATTAGAGCCCAAGGATTGGGGGGTAATTTGCTGGCATACTTTGAGAATTGATTAGCAGACAGAAACAGAGTAGGAAGTAAACAGATCATTCTCAGGTTGACAGGCTGTTACTAGTGTGGTACTGCAGGGATTGGCCCTGGGGCCGGAGCTGTTTATGACCTGTGTAAATAATTTAGATGTGGGGACCAAATGTACAATTGCCAGTTTGCTAATGATACTAAATTGGGTAGGAATATAAGTTTTAAGGGAACTTCAAGGGGACGTGGCGAAGCTAAGTAAACATATAAGAACATGATGAATAGAATATTATGTGAAATTATCCAGTCTGGTGAAAAAAAAAACAGGATTTCTTAAATGGTGAGAAGTTTGGAAATGTTAATTTTCAAACGGACCAGGCTATCCTTGTTTAAGAGTCACTAAAAGCTAAAATGCTGTTGTAGCAAGCAGTTAGGAAAACAAATGTATGTTCAGCTTTAGCACAAAGGAATTTGAGTACAGGAGTAAAGATGTTGTGTTGCAATTGTATAGAGCCTTAATGCACCTGGAGTATTGTATTGGTCCCTGTGGAAAAGTATATTTGTCATAGATGGAGTGCAATATAGATTCAGCAGACTAATCCCTGGGATAATGGGACTGTCCTATGATGAGAAACTAAGGAAACTGGGCCCATTTTCTCTGGAGTTTCAAAGAATGAAGGAGACCTAATTGAAACTTACAAAATCCTTACAATCAGTGACAGGATGTGTATTAATAGGATGTTCTTCTTGATTAGAATTGGGGGGGCAGAGTCTCAGAATAAAGGGTAGGCAATTTAAGACTGAGATGAAGAGGAATTTCTTCAGAGTGGTGAATTTTCAGAATTGTCCAGTCCAGAGGAAGCTCACTCATTGAGCATGTTCAAGACAGAAATGGACAGATTTCTCAATACTAATAACCTCATAATATGGCAATAGTGTGGGAAAGTGGGATTGAGGTAGATGATCAGTCATGATCTAATTGAATGGTGGTGCAAGCTCATCGGGCTGAATGGTCTACTCTTACATCTATGTTCCTGTGTTAAATATGTTCAATGAAGGAACATCCACAACCCTATGTGGTAGAGAATTCCAGAAATTGACAACCCTTTGAATGAAGAACTTTCTCCCAAACTTAGTTCTAAATGATTGGCCCCTTATTCCAACGCTCTGACTTTGTTTTATAAGTATGCAAAACAATCTTGCTGTCTACTCTGCCAGAATAACCGATTGGGCTTTTGAAGTTGTTTTTAAATCATTCATGGGATGTGGGCATCACTGGATGGGCCAGCTTTGCTTGCCCATCCCCAACTGCCCAGAGGGCAGTTTAGAGTCAACCAACATTGCTGTGGGCTGCAGTCACATGTAAATCTGACCCGGTAAGGATGATAGATTTCCTTCCTAAAGGACATTAGTGAACCAGATGAGTGTTTACAATAATAGATTTTTTTAAAAAAAATTATTGATTGGATTTAAATTTCACCAGCTGCTGTAGTGGGATTTGAGCCCATGTTGCCAGGCCAGTCTGTGCTTCAGGATTATCAATCTATGCCATTGCCACTACTTCACCATCTTCATCTGACTGAGATCAAATCTTCCTTTCTAAGGACAGCTAAACTGACATCCCACATCCTCCATGTCCCAAAGTCAAAAGCACAATTAGAGTTAGAGTATTTCCAAAATGATTTTGAATGAGGATTTTGTCCTGTCTTCTTTTGTATTAGTCAGGGATAGGTCAACTTCTCAGCTGCTTGCTTGTGGTAGGAATGTCCTCTTAACACTTTGGGATGTACTGACCTCAACTCTCTCATTCACAGCAGCAAATTTGCAAATGAAACTTTGAGTCAACTCTAGATGCTGTATTTGCCCAATGGTATTAACAGCCCAGTGCAAATAATACTTTCAGTAATATAAAAGGAGCAATATATATTGAAGAAGAGGGACAAATGATGTATTTTCTAGCACATGAGATTACTGGACTATCATAAAAATAATTTTGATACGTAGAAAACAGTAATAATCAATGTACGTACTGAATCTACTTTGATATTATCAATAGCAAAGCCACTTGATGCAAATTTAAATTAAGTGAATGTTACATAATTGAGATGCTGCTTATTTTATTAGCATTTCTAAAAATAATGGCATAAACAGTTTATGTTAATATAACATTTTATGTACATTCTATAACTTGTGGTGTGAGGGGGGAGAAAAGGGAGTTTTTAAATGTGGTTAAACCACAAACATCTAAATGTCAACTTATGAGTAAAAGCTACAATCATTCTACGCAGATAATGGCAGTGGAAGCAGACACCATTTCTTGTATGAAACGCATACTATAATTGATGCTTATCTATCTCCAGACTGCTAAAAAAAAACTTTTTTTGTACAACAGAAAACATAGGCACCTTGAAGGAGTTTTGTCAGACAGTCCTAAATCACACAGAAAAGAAGGATGAAGCATTCAAATCTATCAAAATAGAGCCTGAAGATGTCAGATAGCCTTCTCCTGTTCTTCAAAATGGCATCAGCAAGCACAGTTACAAGAGCCTTAATGACCAATGTTGCCTCATCTTTGTTCCATTATTGTGGTTCCTGTTTTTTAAAGTTACTGTGAACGATGGTTTGATAGTTCAGCAGAAAACTGAATAATTTCCAACCTGATAGTTCAGTGTTGACTATGTATGTTCAATAAATACTATAAGCAGCTGGTCTTAGCAGTGAGATAAACAGCTTAATGAATAATCTATTTAATGTTATTTAAGGATTGGGAATGAAGAAAACGGTACCCAGTCTTGAAAATACTTAATACATTGTTTAGTTTTCCTTACTAGGTACCAGCTTAAAATGATGTATTGCCTTTCTCTATAAGCTAGTCTAGCATAAAGTTTAATAAATCCTTCTTGATAGTTATATACTTCTACTCACATCTAAAATGGTGTGCAGTACACATATAATGTCAAAAATTTTACGTTTGTTTATCACTAATGAGGGATGTGGGATGGAATCTGATAAAGGAACTGAGGTTTGATGAATTAATCTCGTTGAGGTGATCCAATATGGGCCACAGTCTAAGTACAACTGTTGAATCTCTGTGTAATAAAGGGGAAGGAATAAATGTGTGAAAGGTCACTCCAGATGCTGTTGGGTATTTCAGGCACGGTTGCTAAAGCTATCCACACATATCTGAAGTGGTGATTAGGTTTTGAGCAGTGTGTCTGTGAACTTACTTAAACAGAATAACTGTCCAGAAGTTGCATTTCTATTTAGTTGGTTGGCAGACTACAAATCAGGAAATTCCCACATTCCTAATTAAACTGGGGAAAGGTCATAACTTGAAACATTTCTAATTAAAATGCACAATTGTTTAGTAGTTACTTCTGTTCATGTACATTGTCCATTGAGTTTTTTATTAGATTTACTTGTATTACTCCATAGTTTATACTACTTTTCTTTTCACAAAATATTGCAGCATCTCACTTTTCTTCTTCACGTGATGGGGGAACTGGATTGAAATAGTCAATACAGACTTTAGTCTGAAGGGTTGTCTTTGCAACGTTTCAATTAGACACAGCGATAATAATGCTGAGATTCAAATCTGAATTAAAGATTTGTAAACTGTATTTTTTTTTGCTTTGTTTTCTGCTTGTATTTTGTTCGGTGTGCCTTCTGTCTGAAGTCATGTTGCATTTTGCTGGTGGAGAATTTAACTGATCAAAGTCCAGATATTTTAATCTGGTCATGCAGGCAGCCAAAGCCCTGTAGTATTTTTACTACAGACAGACCACAAATCATTATAAATACAGCATTAAAGAGAAGACCCCACATTAAAATGCAATAATTACACAAATAATGCTGATTATTCTGAAGATTCCAATAGCTGGTTGTACATTCCTGTTCAAAACGTGTAATTTGACTTTGGTAGCTGCATACGAGTATCATTTTATATTACCTGTAGTTAACTGGAGAATAGCTGTAGAGTATTACTCTGTTGTAGTGGCAGATTAGCTCTTAAAGGGAATTGAGAGCAATTCCCTATGGTACAATTCAACTAATTTGAAAACTGTGTTGTACTTTATTGCCATGAAATGTTCTCTTGAACTTCGACCTGTAATGTACTGATGTTGCTATAATACTGTCTTTAGTATGTCTTGACCGTTAGCCAAAAGTACGTTAGAACATAGTTTAAACTGTGCCTCCCTCAGCTCTTTTGATCTGTAAAATGTTAGAAACTGTAAAGTGATCAACAGTACACATACTCTAATAACATAACCAATAATATGTTAGTATTAATGTTTCCGTTTGGAATTCAGTATAAAGAACGTTACAAGGGTCAGAGGATGCCTGGGAGAATAGTAGAATGTTCTCGTGGTCTGTACTGTTTGAAATTGCTACTTAAAAGGCAAAGGGCCAGTGTTAATTATACTGAGTGGTCTGAAAATACAGTATAGGTTGTTGAATAAACACTAATGTATTTAATTTGTTATATAAACATTAAAATATATTTTTGGAGTTCTAATTTGGTGTTCCATGACTTATTGTGTTTCAGGAATCTTTTGGATCTTGCCTGATCTATAGTAATTTTGGGATATCTCCCTCACATCTGTCAATGCTTTATGTTTGTAATGATTTAGATGAGATTTCTTTGATGGGAAAGTGTAAATATACAATTCTGTGGTCCTTCATTAATTCCCAATAGAAGACCAGCAAAGATTGAATGTAAAGTAAGACAAAGCTCATTCCACTTAGTGCCAGCAATCCATCTTATTCCTGATGCTCAAATAGGAGGCATGGCCCCACCATAACAATGGGCTGAATTTTAAGTTTTGTTAGCCAATCTGAGTGATGTTGAGTTTTTTTGGAGGGATTTCAACTGTGAGCCCGAGCAAGTTTCTTTGTCACATGTTTCCAAATTCGCCTCATTGACTACTTATCCCACACCTATGGGTATCCCTTATGTCCAATTCTTGCTCTAACTTCCTAAGGCCCGTTCCTACGGATAGCTCATCATTCAGCGGATTTACTGCAATTCACCAGCAACCTTTGCAACCACGCCAACGTTAAAAGCCAATATGCATCCAGGCAAATACTCAGTTCAAACTGTCTTGCACAGTTCCTGATATTTGCTGCAGACATGGCAGAAAAAGGGAAATTGGTGTCTGTTTTGGGGGCAGGGACCCGAATGTCCTGGAAGCCAGGGTGGTCCAGAGATAGGATATTCACTACTTCCAGGACCAGCAGTGGAGGCTACAATACCAAACCATGCCAGCCGAGGCTGAGGTTGCCACCCAGATCAGTGCAGCCTCCGATTGCTGAAGGAATTGTTACAACACAGGGACAGCAAGCCAGAACAAATCAGACTTGCTAATGCTGGATTTGAAACAGTGAAATTGAAACATTCAATGGCCCTCAAAATTGCACAATTTTTCTAATCATATTTTAACATATCAGGCACCGATTTTACATACAAGCACCATATAAGATGCACACACATATAGTACATCACACACAGTCATCACTCACAACTTCTGATTCCTAGGCATTTGGTTCCAGTGAGAACACCACATTAGTATTAATTATTTCAGAACAGTGAATCCTGTAGTGCTATTGTAAACATAATTAATGCTGGGATTAATCTGCTCAAATTTGATTATACTGAAATGGATGATCTATTCAGTGTGTAGAAGAGTTTTGACCTCAAAAGATGGGTCACAAGACTTGAAATGTTAACTCTGTTTTCTCTCTACAGATGCTGCCAGACCTGCTGAGTTTCTCAAGCAAAGCAAAGTGTGGAGCTGGTGGAACACAGTGGGCCAGTCAGCATTAGAGGAACAGGAAAGCTGATGTTTCAGTTTCGGGTTGGGACCCAACCTGAAACATCAGCTTTCCTGTTCCTTTGATACTGCCTAATGCTACTCAGGAGATTTTAAACTACAAAGTGGCAGGGTGGGACCCAAAGAGATACATCTGAGGCTGGTACAGTTGAGAAGAGGAGCAAGTCAAATAGTCAAGGCAGATAAGAGCTTCGCAGAGAACAAGGTAAGACTGATAAATTGAGGCGCAAGAAGCCTGATAGGTAAAGCAGATGAACGTGGGACTGGGATATCATAGCTATTACAAAAATATGGTTCTGGGATGGACAGGACTGGCAGCTTAATGTTCTGGGGTATAGATGCTATTGGAAGGATAGAAAGGGAGGTAAGAGAGGAAGCGAAGTGGCATTTTTGATTAGGGAGAACTTTACAGCTATGCCTAGGGAGGATATTCCTGGGAGATCGTCCAGTGAAGTTACATGGGTGGAACTGAGAAATAAGAAAGGAATGATCACATTGTTGGGATTGTATTATAGGCCCCCCAGTAATCAGCTGGAAACTGAGAAGCAAATTAGCAAATTATTTGTCAGAATAATAGGGTTATAATGATAGAGGATTAACTTTCCAAACATAGACTGAGATTGTCACAATGTTAAGGGCTTGGATGAGGAGGAATTTGTTGGGTGTACAAGAAAACTTTCTTATTCAATATGTGAATGTATCTACTAGAAAAGGAGCAATACTTGACCTTCTGTTGGGAAATAACGCAGGGCAAGTGACTGCGGTGTCAGTGGGGGGCACTTTGGAGCAAGTATTCACAATTCTATTCATTTTAAAATAGTTACGGAAAAGGATTGAAGTGATCAAAAATTTAAAGTTCTAAATTGGAGTAAGGCCAATTTTGACAGTATTTTTCAAAAGTTGATTGGAGGAGGCCATTTGCAGATAATAGAAATCAAATGAAATAGCAATTTATTGTCACATGTATTTTTACAAAAAAATACAGTAAAAAGTCTTAAGCTGCCATACCACAGTGCCTGAATGGATGACAGCAGTCATGAATAATAAGAAAAAAAAAGTAAAAGTTCATCACAGTTCTGTTAATGGCTCCTGGGTTCAGGGTGCATTGGAAAACCAGGCTGAAACAGCCACCCCAGAATGAGACCGCCCTGCCACACCAAGACATGACCTCTGCACCAGGACTCTTCTCACTGGAACCAAATGCCTAGGAATCAGAAGTTGTGAGTGATGACTGTGTGTGATGTACTATATGTGTGTGCATCTTATATGGTGCTTGTATGTAAAATTGGTGCCTGATATGTTAAAATATGATTAGAAAAATTGTGCATTTAATTATGCATATAATTACCTCCCTTTCTATCCTTCCAATAGCATCTATACCCCAGAACATTAAGCTGCCAGTCCTGTCCATCCCAGAACCATATTTTTGTAATAGCTGGGCCACTGGAAGACCTGGAAGCCAGCTCTGAAGCAAGGACAAGACCACCATGCAAGTGTGAGATGACACCTCTTGGACAAGGCTGCCACACCAGGATACTGCCCTGTCAAGCTGTCAGGACTATACCGCAATACTGGGCCACTGGAAGTCATCTGGTCGCTAGTACTGGACCGGGAGAAGACACCTTCTGCCAAAATTGTTCAAAGAGGTTAAGTACTGTAATAAATGAAAACCATTTTTTAAAAAACATGGAAAGAGAAAAAAATAGTAACGCGGGATGGAGTGGATGATCCCTAGGCTCCCGGGTTGAGGAGTCCCCAAAATGCCACTGCCATCTTGGAAGGGACGGTTGGGAAGTGGGAGGCCTTTAAAAATTAGATAATGGGAGTTCAGAGACCGTATGTTCCTGTTAATGTGAATGGCAAGGCTGGTAGATGTAGGCAATGCTGGGTGACTGGAGAAATTGAGGGTCTGGTCAAGAAAAAGACAGAGGCATGCATCAGGCATAGACAGCTGGGATCAAGAGAATGCCTACAGGAGTATAGGGGCAGTAGGACTATACTTAAGAGGGCAAAAAGGCGACATGAGATAGCTTTGGCAAATGGAGTTCAGAACAATCCAAAAATTCTACAAATACCTTAAGGGCAAAAGACTAACTAGGGAGAGAATAGGGGTTCTTAAAGATGAATGTGGCTGTCTATGTGTAGAAATGCAGGAGATGGTTGAGACACTAAACAAATATTTCATATCAATACTTACTTTGGAGAAAGACATGGAAGCTAGAAAACTTGGAGAAATATATAGTGATGTCTTGAAAAGAATTCATAATACGGAAGAGAAGGGCTGGAGGTCTTAGAACATATGAAGTTAGATAAATCCCTGGGAGCTGATCAGGTGTTTCCCAGAAATTTGTAGGAAGCTAGGGAAGAGATTGCTGGGCCCCTTGGTGAGATATTTGTTTCATCAAAAGCCATGGATGATGTGTTGGAACACTAGAGGTTGGCTAGTGTGGTGCCATTACTTAAGAAAGGCTGTAGGGAAAAGACAGGAAACTATAGACTGGTAAGCCTTCTGTCAGTGGTGGATAAGTTGTTGGCGGAGATTCTGAGAGACAGGAATTACATGCATTTGCAAAGGCAAGGACTGATTAGGGATAGTCAACATTACTTTGTGCGTGGGAAATCATGTCTCACTAACTTGATTGAGTTTTTTGAAGAGGTGACAAAGAAGACTGATGAAGGTAAGAGTGGTAGATGTTGTCTATGTGGACTTCAGCAAAGTGCTTGACAAGGTTCCACGTGGCAGACTGATTAGTAAGGTTAGGTATCCAGGGATCCAGGGGGAGCTAGCCAATTGGATACAAAATTGACTTGAAGTAAGAGACAGAGTTTGGTGGTGGAGGGTTGTTTTTCAGACTAGAGACCTGAGACCAGTGGTGTGCCACAAGGTTCAGTGCTGGGTCCACTGCTTTTTGTCATTTATATAAATGATTTGGATGCGAATATAGGAGGCATGATTAGTAAGTTTGCAGATCACACCAAAATAGGTGGTATAGTGGATAATGAAGAAGATTATCTCAGAGTACAACAGGACATTGATCAGATGGGCCATTGGGCTGAGGAGTGGCAGATGGAGTTTAATTTAGATAAACGTGAGGTGTTGCATTTTGGTAAAGCAATCCAGAACAAGTTGAATAGAAAGCACGTGAAAATGATACCAAACTTTTAAAGGCTCTTGTGGTGCAATGGTAGTGTCCCAACCTTTGAGCCAGGAGGCCCAGTTTCAAATCCCACCTTCTCCAGGGGTGTGTAATAACATCTCTGAACAGGTTAATCAGAAAAATATCTAAGAGATGAAGTGAGATGCCTCTGACATCAAAACGTGCCTCACTGGACTCTTGTCCAGTACTGCCATAAATGTCATTATAGCCCACATCAATCCGATTTCTCTTGGGGCAGCATGGTGCCTCAGTGGTTAGCACTGCTGCCTGACGGTGCCAGGGACCCACCCCGGTTTGATTCCACCCTCAGGAAACTGTCTGTGTGGAGTTTGCACATTCCCCACGTGTCTGCGTGGGTTTCCGCTGGGTGCTTTGGTTTCCTTCCACAGTCCAAAGATGTGCAGGTTGGGTGAATTGGCCATACTAAATTGCCAATAGTGTTCAGGGATGTGTGGGTTAGGCGTGTTAGTTATGGGAAATGCAAGGTTACAGGGAGAGTATAGGGGGATGATTCTGGGTGGGATGCT